AAAAATATAAGCTAAGAGAAAATCGAAAGATCAGGCCCTATTAAGTTGTAGCGCCATATCTTAAGACTAGCTCGACCTTTCTAGGATTTGAAGTGGCAGAGAAACTTGGGACGCACGAAAAACTAAATTTTGACATATAATCATAAGCTAACGCTTCGTAGACTCAAGGTATCGAGCTGAAATTTTTACTGTGAGGTGTCTAGCTCGAGATACATCTCCACAGAAAATTTCATCAGGCCTGCATGCTCGGAAGAAAAGTTTCATTTTTGAGGAGAGCCTCCTTAAGAAGGCAAATATAAAAATTTGGTATTTCAACGTACTTGAAGCATGCATCAAACCTATCCTGGAAAGCACTCGAGATATCTAAAGCTTATTATTTATAGATGTTTATACTCCATAACTGAATCTTTAGGCTCATACTGTTATGACTACATCCCTGTACTTAAATTACTATGACTACAGGATTAGATTTATATTCATATGCCTAAAGCATTTTTTATGAACGTAACAACAGAATTCGTACTTTTTATCGATTTTCCAGCGCGCTAGAATGTTCTTGAAATAAGTGTGGCGCACAGAAAATTATGTCACATCGAATCTCAGATTTATTAAACCACCTTTTCTTCATATATCTTTTAGGAAAATAATGAATTATCGAAGTTGAGAACATTACTGTGAAATAATGCATTGCAATGAATTGAGAATTCACTGTACTATCAAAAATCACAACATTATGTTTGATAATGCGTTAAAATTCATAGAAATTTATTTCCTTATTGATCGTTTGGTAATTATTTCTGAAAAATGCATTGAAACTACAAAAACTACCAACGACAAAATGGCTGCGAATGGCATTTTCGATCTGGATAATCGATATTACCATCAGAAAAAATTTTCTTGAATATATTTGAATAGTACAAGTCTAGTTGTTCAAAACATCAATGAAAGGTTAATATGAAAATACAATATGCGGATATGCTGTCTGAGCCTTTCTGATACATGCTTGAACAACATTTAATGACAGGTTATTAGAAGTTTCATCGATCGCATTTTCTTATTCACGTTGTGACCTTGGATTCGTACTTTTAATCTTCTGTTTAATAATGTTCCATGCCAACGTAATAATATTAAAACCCGAACTATAAGCCGCCCGTTGGCATAATTCAATATTACATTGTTTACACCATTGCCTAAATTGTAACCTGTCATTAAATGTTGTTCAAGCATGTATCAGAAAGACTCAGACAGTATATTCGCACATTGTATCTTCATATTAACCTTTCATTGATGTTTTGAACAACTAGACTTGTATCATTCAAATATATTCAAGGAAATTTTTTTTGATCGTAATATCGATTATCCAGATCGAAAATACCATTCGCAACCGTTTTGTCGTTGGTAGTATATCAATTATTCTATTTATTACTATCTTTTAGTAATAATACACTAACTTTTCAATAAAGAGTTGAAAGATTTGTACGATTTATCATGAATATTATTTTCTCAATCTTTAGTATTTTAGTCGATGGATATTTTTGTCGTTGAAATGATATATACGAATTTGAATTCAAATAGAAAATTAACTGAAAAAGTGCCGAAGAAAATATGAGCTGTTAGAGATTCCTCTCATCAAGCAATCTTTTTTATTTCAAAATGAGACGTACTGACTCAAATGACCCGCTTATTATTAAGAATGTCATCAAATGAAAAATGAATATGAGCGGAATGTGGATAAAATAGAAACACTAGCATAAGTGATGTAAAAAAATAGCTAAAAATCAGATTAAAATTAATTATTTTTAGATTAACAAAATTGATTAAAATGACACTATTTTTATCTAATTTTAATCAAATTTTTTCTAGTCTTTAAGAAAGATTTCATTTGATTTTAATCTGATTTTTAGCTATTTTGTTTTTACCTGGGAATACATATAAGATAGAATAACGAATTAGAATTTTTTTATGAATACGTGTTTAGTAATAAACGAGAAGGATAAGTATCGATTGAATGATTACTGCTATTCCTCTCTCTATTATAACGACAAAGAAAATCGATGCAACTGTTCAACACGAAGACCAACAGAAACTGAATAAATGTTTTATGAAGAAGAGTGTTCTGTTAATATATCCTATATTAGTACGTGATTTAGTGATAAAGAGTTTGATAATTTTGAGTTCGATAAAACTCGTACCAAAAATCAAGCTTGTTTTTATGATTCAAGAAGTGTGAGGTACAATATCTGATCTCAAACCGTTCTTGAACTATGAACGAAGATCTATTACAAGCGGCGCTAGTTTTTCAAAGATCTCGAGAATATCTTAGAGTCAGAGATCGATCCAAATATAATCATAATCAAAAAATTTAACTTGATTTTGGAAGATACTACAGTTGGAAGTAAATAAGTAATGAAAGAGTATAAAACTGCAACAAAGAATATATTTAAATTTTTAAACGAAAATTATAAATTTATTTCGAGCTTTCGATAATTTACAATTATCATCTTCAAGAAAGAACTGAAGAAAGGCAGAACAATTATTACACTATATATATAAATTTAGAACAAACATGATTAAAATCAAAGGATAATACAAGTACAATATGATGAAATGAAAAAGAACATTTTATAATAATTCGAATTATTATAAATAAGTTCATAGAACTTGTTTTTGATCATCAAAAACTGCCCTTTTTGAAGCTTAAGATGAGTGATATTCAGATGAATTATCAAGTTCAATGAATTAAATGTGAGTTTTATGAGTTAGATTATACATATAGATGAAAACTCAATAAATTTAATTTTGAGTATAACTATATTTTAAATATAAGTATCTTTTTGTATCTTGAACATAATTTTGTTTCATTAAATTTGAGATTAATATTTATTGAAATTGTGATTATATCGTGTGATTTAAAGTAAAAGATCGTTGAAGTTTTAATTGAAAATTATTTGGTTAAATTAAATTTAATTGTTTATTGAAATTGAAAACAAATTAAATTAAATATATATGGAAGTTTATTGATTTAAGGATGTGGATATAGGTGTGCATCTTCTCTTCGACAACACACACCTACATCCTTATTCATATATTGGGGTCATTATTCTAAGAAAAATCCTAAAAGGGTTTGGGCTGATGGTGTTTCCTTCGGAGGCTATGACCATTTTACTGATTTTTCGACTTATAGCAAGATGTTCTCAAAAAAAATTGAATAACGAAATTTTGACCTGAAATTTTGCCAATATGTAGGACTTATGGTCCTTAGTATAAGCTAAAAGCTTCGGTGAAAACGGATCTTTGTTTCTCGAGATAATGAATTTGCCATAAATATCCGCATTTCACAGAGATCTCAGAAAAATTGATTTTTTTTTGGATATTCTTTATCTCAGGAATGAAACATCCATTTTCGCTGAAACTTTTAACTTATACTAAGGACCATCAATCTTACATATAGGCAAAATGTCAGGTCAAAATTTCGTTATTCAATTTTTTTGTAAATATCTTGCCGTAGATCAAAAAATAGGTAAAATGGTCATAACCTTCGAAGGAAGCATTATCAGCCCAAACCTTCTTAGGATTTTTCTTAGAATAATGATCCCAATATATGAACAAAATATTATTTAAAACGGTGCGGATCAATTGAGGACCTTCTCTACGAGCTGATATATTAGTAAAGGTTTCAAACTTTTACTTTCGAGTCGCAATAACGAAAAACACACAAGTATACAGAAAAATTTTCCATCCAAACTATTTTTTTTGGTCCTTTCAAAGATCATATCATTAGCCTCAGAAAAGATTCCAGAGAAATTTTCTGAGCCTACTTTCAGAAAGAGCGCAAAATTTTAGTCATAACCTATACCTTTTGACTCCTATGCAACACTTTCAAGTTAATCAAAAATAAACAAATATTTCGTTTCAAAACTTTCGGTCTATTGGTTAGGATATTTTTTATTAAAGAAACTGGGATAGAATATAGAACAACTTTTCAGTTAACACTGGAATTAAATCTCAATAAATGTACATTATAACAAGTATAGTAGAAATGAAAGAGTTAAACAGTAAATAAAACGCTCATCGAAAAATATTTGTATTTGTTGTTTTTCTTTTAATAGTGCTAAACTATTTCCTTTTTGAATTGAATCATGTAGTCTTTATTTTGAAATGAAAATAGATAATAAAGATATCCCATGAAGAAATATCAAGACGCTACTTTGTGTCTCAATGCAAAGAAACAAAAAAGCTAATATATTAACCCTATAGATATTAAGTAATTATACTGTCAACAACTTTGGTTTATGCAGTCGATTCTGTCTCCTAAATTTCCGTTTGCAAATTAGCCTTAAGAAATCTATATATAGATTACAATTAGTATTATTTCATACGTAAAAACAAATACTTAATGATTAATAATGAAATCAAATCTGTTCACATTTAAATTATGCATTAACATTTTATTCGAAATTCTTCTAATAGTTTTCCTGTTACATTTAAGAAACCGTGCAATGCTTATTTTTGAAAGTTACTTGTAAATTCTCAGTTGTTGTTTTTTTTTTGTACTAGAAAATTGGAGAATTTTCTTATTCTTGATTATCTGATTCAGAATTCTAAATTTTCCTACAATGATTGAATATCATTTATCTAAATATTTATAATCTCCTTGTTCTATGTCAAGATCCAATAAAATAAACATCATTAATCATTTACTACTCATAAAAAATCAATTTTTCATTATGCTAAACGATCTATTTTTATCTACTTCATTCATAAAAAATTGTTCTAATCGAAGATATACGTTATTCTATGTGCAATTTTTTGTTTTTTCTTCCAGCTATTAGCTAATTACTTGTTTGCATTCGATTGATATATATTGTTGTTTTCTTATTAGTTGGCACCTTGAAACAAGATTCCTCTCATCAAAATAAGACAAAAAAGAAATGATAAATATGTGTTAAAAATAGAGAATAAATAGAAAACATTCATTTCTATTTTGTAAGAAATCAACTATGGATCGAATATTTTTCTTATTTGGAAGTCTTCTTCTTTTAACTATTATTGATTTTAGTAAGTAAAGATGAAGCAATAGAATATTAGTAATTTAGATTTTATATGTAAATAGATTGGGCAATAAAACATCATAGAGATCGTGGTGGTCATAGAAATGAGGAAGAATCCTTACTTGATAAACATGAACGTGAACGAGATAAAAAAGATCGAAAACGTGATGATGATAAAAAAGGTAAATATTACCAAGTAAATTGTTAAAATATTTTTTTTTTGTTTGTCTCTTGTTTTTTTTTAAATGAATAGAGGAAAATCGAAATTTAACATGTTATAAATGTGATGGTGATCTATGTCGAGATCCATTTCGAACAGGTGATTCTGTACCATTAGTACAATGTGAACATAGTTGTTGGGTATATTTTAAAAAATTAAAAAGTTTCAAAAACAAAAATCTTTTTTTTTTTCATCTCTTTAATAGAAAGGTGTTTTTGCTGCAAGTGTTCGTCGATCATGTGGAAATAAACGTTGTACAGTTACATTTCAAGGAAGTTCAGCATTAAGTAATACATGTTGTCAAACATCGTTTTGTAATAATGCACACATGAAAATATCATCGATTATGATTATATTTTTTTCATTTATTATCGTTATTCTAATAATTTAAATATCGGATTAGCCGAGAATAATTCTTTCTTTCTTTCTTTCTTTATTTTTTTTTTTGCTTTGTCCTTTCTTATTAAAATACATTAAAAAGTAAAAATAAATATTTTTCTATACATTTAATGAAAAAATAATATTTCTCTCATTTTTCTTTTCGTTTACAAAAAATCGATCATTTCGTTCATTTGAATACCAGACATTGTAGAAAGTATACGAATATTCAAAAAAATGTTTTTAGACGGTAATGAGCAACAAAAACAATCATTACATTCATTTCACCGCACATCAACGTAAGTCGGTCAATGTATCAAATTACTTTTATATAGTAATAGTAAAAAAAAAAACTCAAATCAGTAAAAACAGTTGTCTCACTTCTTTCAAAAATTTTCATCTCGACATATAAATTTATTGAGTAGTGTAAATTTCTGAGTAAAAAAAGCATAAATTTAAATAGTTGTTCTCGTTATTTTTATCAAAATAGTATTTTTCTTCTTCTTCTCTTTTTCATTCTCATTAAATATATTTTTCTTTTTGTTTTATTTCTTACTAACGTCACTCATCAAGAAAGAAAATAATATTTCGCAATGTCAAAAAATAAGTTTATGATTACTATTGTTTTATTTTTTACAGAGAGTTGACTAGCATATTTATTTCAAGAGATGAATGTAGTGATATAATGGCAAATATGACTAAAACTTTACATATGAATACACCAGAACAAACAATATGTGATGTTGATATTGTTGATAATCATCCTAATAAATTATCGAATAAAAAACAATTAATTGAACAATTACAATTACAACTTACACATAATCAAATACAACGAACACAACCAAGAGATTATATACGTATATTAGGTCAATCGACAACACCTGCACAATGGTATAAAGCTCCTTCAACTGCTCGTTCTGTTTATTTTTATGATCCAAATTATCAAAAATATGTACAAAAATCATCAATTTCACCACGAAAAACAAAATCTAATGTTCATGTAAATTAGAAATTGTATATCTTATATTTTTATAACATATCTTCTTCTTATTCTAGTTGACTTCTCCTCAAACAATTCGAATTCAAGAACGTTCAATTAATTATTCAAATTTTATTCAACGTAATTCGTTTTCATTGACACCACGTACAAAATATATATTAGATTTATATAAAACAGCTCTTAATTATCATCAACATAAACAACGTTCAAATCAAAATTATCAATCAACATTATCACATATATCTCCACAAAATCTTTCAATTGTATCTGGATCACAATTAATACCAACATTACCACCAATTAATACTTCTAAAGAACAACATGATCAATTATCAAATTCATTCCTACATAATAAACAACAATATAAATGAAAAACAAATATTAAAAACTATCAATCAATTAATACTGAATCAAGAAAAAAAAATTTTTTTCTTATTGTTATGCCTCCCAGTTTATAATGAATATAATAATGATCAATTGTGAAAAGTGTGCAATATAAATAATAATATATGGGGAAAAACAAAAATTTCAGCAGCAATTTTCCAAATGATATATCTTTGCAGTCACTTAAGTAATTTTAAAAAATAAAGATTCTAGCTTAAGAACATAAGAAAAATATATAAATGTAAGAATATCATTAACTGTTTCATATTCTCATTATTCAATATTAAAGAATTGTTTTTTGAGAATTAAAAACACATGTAACAAATTTCTTTTATTGACTCTTTCTTACTTGAGCTAGAACCTTTATTTTTATACAATAAGTACACTTTGAAATGCTCTTTAAAATAAGTATTTTATTTGTTGAAACTGCTCTATATCGATAGGAAAATTACTGCGAACTTTTTTCTCATACCTTATTTATTTTATGTACCATCTTCTATAGTATATCTCATTCATTTTGCCTATGAATATACGTAAAAAAAAACAAACAATTAAATCTTCATTTATAACAATCCATTGAGTCGATGATAAAAAAAATTCAAATTCGTAAATGTTGATGACGGTTTAGTGTACGAAAAGTAATTGTATTTGAACTACAATTGAGACTCTAGAAATGAAGAAAATATTAAAAAAAAAGCTTACGACACTCGGTATTCCCAGGCGGTCACCCATCCAAGTACTAACCGAGCCCGACGTTGCTTAACTTCAGTGATCGGACGAGAACTGGTGTATTCAACGTGGTATGGCCGTAAGCGTACATTAGTAGAATTTTTATACATTTTATAGTATTTAAATATTCCTTTTAAAACAATCATTTTTAGTTTACTCTGAATCATTTATACATTGATAAATTTAGTGAAAGTATCAGGTTATCATCTATCGGATTAACATTTACACGAATGCGATCAATTCATGATCATAAATCATATTAAACAAGCATTGTTGTTTTTCTATAATTGAAGTGACAAAACTAATTTAATGCTTTTCGATTAGACAGCATAATAGATCCGCTAGTTCTAGTATCGTATTTTTTTCGTGTATATGTTTAACATAAATCATCATATCCTATGGTACTATCATATTCTTTAATTTGTAATGGATTAATAACTCATCAAAGATTTGCTATCATAATAAATAAATCATCAATGTAAAAAAAAAACTATTGATAAGCTGAAAACAAAAATTCACTTTTTAAATATCGTAAATTATAAAGTGTATGTTGAGTTATAGTAGTCACTGAAAAATTTATTGTTTTTTTTTTTTTGTTCAAATTGTTGTAACATCATTAAATCAACACTAGTATTTTGTAGGCGATTTATAAAGTAAAATTGATCTCATCTTTTACCCTGACTATAAAAAATGGCATGTGACGATGCTAAATGACGATTATTTGTATTGAAAATAAAACAAAAATAATTGTATAATCAATTTTAGTATCTGTTTAGCATCAGTAGATGTATCATTGTAACATTGGATATTAATCGAATAAGAAGTGAAAAAAGTGTAAAAATAAGTATACAATAAAATAAACTATATTAAATAATGATTCATGATAGATTTCATTTGTATTTGACAAAAAAATAAGCTGATAAAAATTTTTTTTTACGCATCATTGCTTTTGTTTCTGTCTTTCTTTTTTTTCATATCAACTAAATAAACTTTATTTATTCAAGGATATTTTATCGGTTAACATTTACAATATATATTAAGCAGACTTAGTACGATTTATTCTTTCTTCTTGAATTTGCATTTAATTCGCAGCTAGATTTCATATTAAATCTAATCAACCTGTCTCATTGTCACTTGTCTTTGTCATAAACATGAAATAAAAAGAGAAAAGGCAAAAGTAAATTTGCATTTTTTTTTAATCTATTTTCTTTACAGAAATTACTTTTGTGTGAAATATACATATACATATAGACAAAAGAACATACTGCTGTCAATTGCATCATTTTGTCGCGTCGCATAATTACTTATTGTGTACCGATATATATATATATATATATATATATATATATGTATAGATGTAAATCAACAATAGAGAAAAAGCGATGCATAAAAATAATGTAAAATGAAACCAACCGTGATTTGGCATTTATACTACATTACATACATATACATATATGATCATCATCTGATCATAATAACACTTCTTCGATGTTCAATTTCAGTATGAATAAATAACACTGTGATCGACAAATGTATATTGTCTATACATATATATGTATATATGCATATAGAAAAATGATCGATGTTTATGTTAGATTTATACAAAAGGGCGAGAATCAGATTGAGAATTATTGAAGTTTATGTGAATAATTTAAATTGTTAAAAATCGATCGGTTGTTGGTTGACTAATTTTCAATACATCGAAAATGTCTCAAGTGGATATAAGATGTCCATTCTTCATCATCAATAACAACAACAACACTTTTCTTTTATGCATGCTTGTTTAATTATAGCAATTTGTGACATATTGAATTTCTTTCTGTTTTTTTTTTGTTTTCTTTCTTTCTTCTCATATTTATTCTATGAATATTGCAATAAGACAGATCAGAATCTGGAATAAAAATTTTTCAAGAATCTTCATCCAAATAATAAGGATGCATGCACTCTATTGACAGATGATTTTCTTTGTCTGTCGTCTATTCTTTAGGAAGCTTTTGTCTTCTTCCTTTTTTTTTTTAAGAGCACACTATTACTATCATCATATAGAACAACGGGTATGAATATGCGTGAAGCATCATCATATGGGTATACTAATAGAAGAGATGAGAAATACCAGGAAAGGAAGAAGAGAAAAAAAAACGATAGAGAAAAATAGCAGCAGCTGATCGTGAGCGCATTTTTTTCAGGACGTGAGCATTGCGTTGGTGTAGTTTTTTATGAGACGAACGTCAGACGACGGATGTTGTGTTTTTGTTGCGTTTCAAACGCTCAAACAACCTTCTTCTCGTTCTAACATTGGAAGCAGAAATACAACTAGTCGACAAGATTTGACTATCGTCAACAACAGTAGGACGAAGAACAACAACAATATTGACGACATCTAAGCAGAAAAAAAAGGGAAACAGACGAAGATATAAGAAATAGTATAACGTTTTTCTTCTTCTTTTTTTTTTTTGCTTGCCTGTCTACCTTATTATCAACTTCGCGCCAAACACTATCATTATCTATTTGTTCATATTCAATTTATTCTCAAAACGACACGTACGACTTTATATATAACAAGTAAATTTTTTTTCTGTTTCTTTTTTTCGATAAGAACTAAATAATATTCGTCATAGAATTTAATATGTTATCTTTTTCACCTATGTCTGATCTATTGATTGTCCGCGAACGAATTCTAACAAGGTCAAGCGTTTTCGAATATTTCTCTTCCTCTGCCTGTCGTTCCTTTGCGAAGTTGCACTCATTTCATCACCAATTCAATAAGAGTATAGTACTCGAAAAAAAAAAAATACGCAGAACAAGATAGCAGTAAGTAATCAACACAAGGCTATATGCAATTCATTGCGATGTTCATTCAATTCAATTGAACAATTCTTATACAGAAGAGTAAAAGATTTATTTTGACCTTGATCAAATTGGAATTATCTAGAAATGGAAAGACTAGATTAAATTGTATAGACATGAATAATTTCATTATTAGTATTCAATACAAACAGAATCATCCAAATATAACAGTGGCAATGAGTGTAATAGGCAGTTAGGATTAGATCAAGTTCTGTGTGAACCCTTATTCCGTCTTATGTCATATACATGAAAAAAAAAAGTTGTTCGAGGAGGTAGAAACACGAGCGAGACAGTATAGAAAAAGAGACAAAAGAAGAAAAGTAGTAGAACGAGAGAGAAGAGAAAGAGAGCCATGCAAATACACACACACACACACACACACACATGGGGGACAGTGTCAATCCTCTTCTGCCGTTTGTTAGCTTGCACGTCATCACTACTATTATTTTGCCAATGTCGTCTTCGTTTTTTTTTTCTCATCATAATTGCTTGCATATGCATGTATATAGTCACCAGAAATTTTCAACATCTATATTTCTTAGACGAATAATAATCATAAAGAGTTGCCTAAAGCGAGCGCATCATCAAAGTTTCTTTATTCTCGAAAGAAACATAACTGATTTTTTATTTGCCATAAATCTCTTCTTTTTTTTTTTTACATACATAGACATTGTATTATACGTCAACAGAAATCATCAGTTAACTAGAAAGAATTAAATGACGCAAATCATCGTCCGAGATGTCGTATGACGACAAACGGAAATTCAAGATGAACCATAATCTATAGAAAAAAAAAACCTCGTTTGTCATTGTCCTATGAGCAAGAATTAGCTCGTTGTTATAGGGTTGTAATAGAAAGAAAAAGAAAAACTCATGGAAAATGTTAAAGAACAAAATTAGCCTAGTATTGTGACAAAATCAAGGTTAGTATTTATCCTTCACATGAACGTCTCATCTTCGTTCGTTATTTATCAATCTGTCTAAATGTTGTTTCCGGTCAATTTGTCTCCTGAGGAGTTAGAAAAGAAAAAAAAATACAGAACCACTTGAAGCGTCAAACAAATGTCATTTCGGTCATCACATTAAAGTATGCTTAGATGTATTATATAATAAATTTCAGTACACATACAGCTGTGTACGTTCATACAAAACGTTTGACGCAAATATTTGACTTTTTGTTTAAGTAATTGTTATAGTAACAGCAAGTCCTTGATTTGTTGGTTTCTTAAATAAAAAAAAAATTAAAAGAAGAAAATTTCTTTTTCCTTTTTCTTTTTTTTTTCGAATAGAATTTTGTGCGTAATCATATTTTGACGGCACTTCACAATAAGATCTGTCGTCATATTTCTCTAAATTGAATTCATTATTAAATCATCGTGGTGGCAACCTGTTGGACATTTCTTTCTACCGT